TCGTGATTTTGAGCACAAAACAATGATTTATTACATTTATTCCCCTTAATGAATTTGAATAGGGCAAGAACAACAATGTTTTTTGTAGAATAAAATGGTACCTTCGTTATTTATTTCATTGGTTTCTCATCAGATGCTTACAGGCCAAAGTCAATATTAAGTATATCTACAGAAACAATTTTAACACACTTGCACAGAGAGTTCATTTTTAAACAAAAATCAATCAGTGATTATACGCATACAATAATACATACAATATTAAACATTATTACGTACAATAATGATCTTACGCATTGGAAACTTTCAACATTACTTAATCAGATGAAAGAGACGTTGACAATATCCAGTTACTAGGCTGGGCAAGGGAAGACTGATAACTCCTTCTTTCTGAACGAAAAAATCGAGTTTCACGTCCACAACGGGATACTCACGGAATCCTTCGAAGTGAAGACGTGAGTAAGACAAGCTAGTTGACTACTATATCGAATGATTTTCCTGATTACGGGCGGTAGACTGGATGATGCGACAGACAGACAGACAGGAGGCAGAGGAAATAGACATAGAATGGACCAACACAAAAAATTGAAGCATCTGGACTTCGCCGATGATATTTGTCTGATTTCCCACAAACTGCAAGATATGCAAGTGAAAAGTCACAAATTGGCGATAGAAGAAGCATCAAAGATAGGACTTCACTTTAGGTCAACATAGAGAAAACGGAGGTAGGCGGTGAAGATTCCTGGCCAACAGCAACAGCAACAACAACCGACGACAATCAGCATAAATGGGAGAAATCTGAAGGAAGCAATCTCCTTTACCTACCTACCTACCTGCCTGGGAAGCATTGTCTCAAATACAGGCCGACGGAACTGATGAGGATATCAAAGCAGCGGAGATTGGGAAGGCATGGCAGGCTTTCATTACTCTCAAGTATGTGTGGAGGTCAACAACACTCAGCATCCAAAATAAGATCCGGATTTTCAGCTCACATGTGAAGTCAGTGCTGTTTACAATACGGATCAAAGACTTGGCGCGTCACGATTGGCACTTCAAACAAACTGCACACCTTCAACAACAGCTGTCTTTGCTCAATACTCAGGATCAGATGGCCAGAAAAAATCAGCAACAAGGATCTCTGGCAATGAATGAACCATTACAGCAGGAACCAATTGTGCAACAAATATGCAGGAAAAAATGGAGGTAGGTGGATTTGCCGTACTCTGAGAAAGCAAACCATTAATTGAGTGACATCAAACGCCAGGCCATCACTCGAGTGGAATCCGAATAGGAAGTGGCGAGTTAAACGTCAGTGAGAGGGTGACAACTTGGAGGGGGTCATGCGAAGAGGAGATGAAAGCATGCGGGCAGACGTGGAGTCAAGTGAAAACTTTGGCGAAGTATTGAACGAATGGAGACGTGCTCGGCTGAATCGCTTTTTTCCTCTAGGAATTAAAGGCAGCATTAATAATAATAATAATGATAAATGGTAGACTCACTTACACATTCATTAAGACATTGCTAACTAGTACAACATCACATGATTTGCTCAAAAACACTTATAAGAACATTGTTTTATCAATGCATTCAAGCGGGATTTATGTAGAGCATCACATGTTTCAACCTCTTATAGTTACGTTATCAATAGATTACAAATAATTATATACTTAGCGAGATGCGTCTGTATATGCATATATGCCATGCGTGTGTAACTGTTCTATCTTTGCGTGCGTGTGTGTGCATGCGTGCAGCATTTGAGTATCTAGAATAATCAAACTATTGAATACTGAATTGATATTTATTCAATATTATCAATACCTTGTATACATTGAAAATTTTTGGCGGATAATTTAAAACATCCTACTAGCCAATGACAGAACTTTACTGGAGAAATTAAATAAGAAATGTATAAATTTTCTTAATTATAAAATATTGCAGATTGAATTGCATTTTTATATTTAAATGCAAATGAATTCAAGTCACATTAATCATGAGAATAGATAAATCAGGCATGTATGGAGTTTTAAACAAAACATCGAAAATATGTTACAGTGAGTGAGATAATAAAAAAAAATTGTCTGAGTACTTATAATATATAATTTAAACGTGACCTGGTAAAGTGTCTGCTTCACACAACTAGGATAATCTATTCAAATGACTCCCTCATTGAGAAGCTTAAGAATATTAAAGAATTACTTAGAAAAAAAGGGTTATCCAGATTAGTTCATTGAGAAAAATATGAATTCAGCACCTAGGAGAGTCAGTTTGGGCAACAGTTCCTCCAAAAGATCCCTGCTCATAAAACTGCAGTTCCTTGGTGAAAAATTGGCAAAATAGTAACACAGTGCTTGAAGAATGCAGTTAAAAGAGCTTATTATGCAGCAGAGAGAGGTACGTTGTCTCTTCACAACCACTCCTATTCTACGCTCGACAAATAAGGATAAAATACCCAAATTTGCCTCCTCTATGTGTATCTACCGGTTTGACAGCAGTGGCGGAGCCAGCTACATTGGGCGTACAATTAGTTTTGTTCATCGTCGTATTTCCGAAAATCATCTAGGATGGTTAAGCAAGAAAAAAACAAAATCTATTCGTGGTTCTATTTTAGCACACCTTATAGATAGTGAGCATAAGGTTGACGTTAATACAACATTTAAAATTATTTATCGCATTCCTACTATTCTTAATTTTGCTTTACGAGTTCATCTTCTACAGCTGAAGCAATAGGAATCAACCTGAAGAAGCAAAACCTGTGTGTTCAGAAGAAATATGTGCAGCCAGTTTCCTTCCCTTGGCCATCCTTACACGGATGTATGCACCGGACTACTTCGCCACCCTCCCGCTAAGCCTTTAAAAATTATAAAAATTATAATTGCGCGAATTATTTTATTCTTATAACCACTTCATCCTCCATTACAAGTTATGACTGTCCAAATCGTTTCATTATTTTTTAATATTCTGTTACGTAATCAACCTGTGCACACGCACTCTTTATTTTTCCAAAATTATGCATTATGCAATCCACATGTTGTCACCATTTCTACCTTCTAATTTTGTGTATTAATTTTCTTCGTTAATTATCACCCGTCACCTTGACATGTTGATACTGACTAATTTTTGTTAACAAACATATCAATGCCACTTGATTGGTAAATTGTTGTGTATTGTAATAAAAATGCTGTACGTGTATATTAGGGTAGAGCCAGTGTGAGATGAGGATCTAATTGAAAAGTAGATATTTCTTCCATCAATCCTTCTGTTATCATGAACACAGTTTACTAGAGCTCCCCAGCTGTGAGCGACACATTCTTTTTTCGGGAGAGAGGTGATGAGTTAGAGAGTCGAATGATACAACTCAACTGGCAAGGCTTAAGTAGGCAGAGCACGACTCCAATACGGAATGTAATAGCTAAACGTCGATGGCTTAAGCTAACGATTTGATTTTGGTACCAGTACTGCAGAGACATAACATCATGAAAAATGAACAGGCTGACTCAAGTACATTGCGAAGTTGGCGTCATTGTTAACGTGGATGAGACAGAGTTGATGAAAAGAAAATTTAATCGAGGGAGATTGAGTGCGAATCAGCAATGAGTGTTGGGGATATATAACACCACCCTCCACAAAGGATACATTGAAGCGATCCGTAATCGCATTGCAAATGTCTTTTTGCCTATTATCCAACGCTTTTTGCTGCCTGGAACAACTATTCATACAGATGAATGGAGCAGTTTTAGTCAGCTATTAACCATGGAATATATTCATCATACCTTCAACCACACAAATGATTTCATCAATCCTTTCGATGGAACTCAAACTAATTCCATCGAAAAATTTTGGAGTCACCTCAAAAAACGGATCAGATCTGTGAATGGATCAAGAAATGCAAAGATATACAGTTATCTCGATGAGTTTATGTACAGGGCTTGGTTTAACATTACTATGAAGACTCCTATGAGAAATTGGGAGGTTTTTTTCGGAACATATACGAGAACGTTATCCTATGTAACTATATTTTAACATTGAATTACTTTTATATAAACGTTTTATTGAAATTATGCGCCGTTTCTGTAGGGACTTCTGATTGGTCGAAGTTGTCGTTGCCAACGTCATTTGTCCGTTCTCTAGGTAGTTTCAGTTTGGGCTGCTATAGTTTAGAGTCGCACATTATTTACCTGTGGTGGTGCTATATTATCATGATCGGCAGATGTTGGCATTCATCAGCCATTGGGTTCCATCTTACAATACGCAGTACGCACTCACTAGGTTTAAAACACAACACTCAAAAATTAAAAATGTTTCTCAAAAGTCACTTTATTTTTACATTTTAATTCTTTTTCTCAAAAAAAGTCTTTTTATCTTCCTAAATAAACAGAAAGAAAGGTAATAAAATCATAATTTAAAATTACGCGCCTATATCGATGCGGAAATTAAAATAAGCCAGTAGACTAGTAAAACAAAAAGATTTAAAATTCGAGAAAAAAAGAAAAGAACTATATGAGATGATGATAGGTTGAGAAAAGGAAACATCTGAATATCATCTAAAAACAATGTTTGTTTGTTTGTTCATTTTTTTTCGTTTTGATAAATACAACGAACGAACTATGTACATATGAGATAAAAGGAAGCCAGCGAAGTAATATTTATAACATATCCTATCTGGTAAACAGAGAAAGCCATTCGTTAATAATCGTAATGGTACATAATGTAGGTGTATTTAAAATTAAAATTCATTCAAGCATAACTTTACTGGGTCACTTTACAAAACTTTACAAAACAACACATAATACGGTATGTGTTACATGACGAACAAGGAGTCTGGCAATGAAAGACGTGAAAGATTTCAGTATGGCCCACTGAAAGTTATCACAAAAAATGCCTATGAATTCACATACGAAACAAAGAAAGGAAAGAAAAGAAGTTCGGTTTTAGTTACATTGCTCTGCCATTATCACTTCAGTTTCCAGTTATTTTTTGAGGTGTTTAAAAATAACAAAATTCGAGGAATGTTTGAGGTTAATCTAGGTACTGGAAAGTTTGAAAAAAGGAAGGAGCAGACTTAGATTTATGGCAGTCTACAGAAAGAGAGAGCGGAAGAAAGGAAGCCTCTGGTTTCACTACTGAGTATAAAAAAACGCTAAACGAAAGTTTATCTGGGCATATATGTACTTTCTGCGAAATAAAATATCTATTTCTATAAATGATAATTTCTGAGTAGGGAATTGAAGAAATTATCTGTCTCGCAAAATGTGTTAGGTAGGACATTTCGATTGAATTTTATTTCCGTTAGCTTTCTTGTCATGAAATAATATTTGAATGATATAACAAGGGTAGTAGGCAATCACTAGAACCAGCCAATAGCAGGAATGGATGTAATAATAACTGTGCAGCTGTCGCTCTTCTCAATGGATCACGAACTAACATTAATCCAAGGAAGGAATTCAATTTTCTAGAGGACTGTAAAAACAAATGTGCGTTGCAAAAATGCTGCCTTGCATTTAAATATGTTACATATGTACCAAGTTCACTTTTAAAAGTTTGAAAAAATTTGAGCATTGGGTATTTAAAATTCATTATAATAAATGATTTTTGTATTTCACAATGGATGAAGAACAAAACGACATTGCTTTTTTACAGACGTTTCGCTATTTAATGCTAATAGCTTCATCAGAGCAGTATTATTTAACCCGAATTTACAAAATCTCAGCTTATATGTACATTACAACTTAATCATCGTTCCTCAGTATGGGGTCACTTTTGCGTTTTCAAATAAGCCAGTCGGTAACGATAATAAAACCAGGTGTAGATTGTCGGATTCGATAATTGTATGAAATTATAAAAGCAGCGTGTGTTTACATAGTGAAATTGCTCATCGAATTCGTGTTGATTTTGTCATTTCACGGCGGAGATTGGGGAGTGGTGTTGTAACCAGGTCGAATTCTGTTTTAGTCCATCATTCCTATTCAGCTCAGGCAATTTGGATTCCATTTGATATGAAGTGCTTCTGATGATATTAGACGTTCTTTATGATTATTGAAATGCTTTTTCTGGATTATTGCAATATTGTGAAAATCATTTTTGTGGTCTGATTTCATAGCGTGTAGAAGAGCTATGGCTGATGATGATTCAAGCTTTTCAAGTTCAACTGGATTTCTTGGTCAAACAGACACTCACTTTACGGTGTTCATTTTTTCTGATTACCTTGATTTCTCTCTGATGAGGTTTGGCCGATGTATAAAGCATCACACTGCGAGCATTTTATTTTATAGACACAATTAGATAGAGAATCTTTAGGTATTTGACCTTTTATATGAACAAGGTTGCTTTTTAGTGTGTGTGTCTGATGTTTTGAAGAAAACTCTGATGTTGAGCTTATTGAGTACTCTTCTGATATCGTCTGACGTCTCTGATCTATATGGAATGACAGCTGTTGAGGTGCATGTTTTCAGAATGTGTTTTTGACCGTACTTAATGTCAATGTAGAATCAGCTATAGAATCAGGTCACAAAATTGCTTTTCACAATATTGAAATCATCATGCAGAAAAAGCATTTAAGAAATCATAAAGAACGTTTAATATCATCAGAAGCACTTCATATCAAATGGAATCCAAATTGTCTGAGCTGAATAGGAATAATGGACTAAAACAGAATTTGACCTGGTTACAACACCCTCACATTTCCCCCATGAAATGACAAAATCAACACTAACTGACTCTATGCTGTTGATAGATCATTAAGTTGTTATATATGAACTGAGTGGATTTCGTAAATTCTAATGGTTAAATAATACTGCTCTGATGAAGCTATTAGCATTAAATAGCGAAACGTCCGTAAGAAAAGCAAAGTCGTTTTGTTTTTCATTCATTGGGAAATACAAATACATTTATTATAATGTACATTTAAAAGTATTATGCAAAACCTAGAAATAATGAATGGCTTCTCAACAGAAGTACCTGTGTTTACATAGTGTGATATCATATCAGTATGCTGATTAGCTTCAAGAAGACTGGTTGCACATTATAAGGTATGTTGGGATTCTTCTCATGCAATACAGTGTGCTTGTGTGTTTGTAGCTTATATACGCATTCCTATCGTCTTGATAATGGTTTCTGATGACATAGAATCGCAAAGTAAGAAGTTTCATTTTCTAAAGATCTGGTCAGAAGTGACGGAACAGGAAGTAACTGCCGATATGTTTCGATCGCGAATTAACTTCATTTTGAGAACCACTGAAAATCACGGAGAAATGAACAGCTGTTTTGTTCTTGTTTCTGACTCTTCATAGGTATTTACCCATATCCTTATCAAGAATCAAACCCAGGGTCTACACGTTATAGAGAGAAAATTCGTACACGCTTCAGCCTCTGAGACGGAACCCAATGGACAAACGATTCTAACTTATGCCAATTGGCGTGACAGCCAGCCAGTGTCCGCTGTGAGGAGTGTTTGTCCTTATACTTAAATTAGTTGACCCCTCTGATCACAGCTTCCAACTACATCTTCAGGCGAATTCATCCTACAGTCAGTTGCTGGTGAGTACTGGACTAGTTTTCAATTGTTGGTTTTGTAGGAGTTTGAGTGATTTCAAGCTTGGTCATGAAATGACGTCTGTTAGAGAACTACTAAACGTGTTTTTTAACTGGAACATCCTGACTTTGGCCGTATTGATGTACATTGTACGTCAGAGGGCCATATTAGAGACTCCAGACATTAAGTACATTTCTTTTGAGACAGATCAGTAGAAAATCCTACCAACCTGCTCGGATTAAGAGCAGCAGGAATGATAAGAGGAGACCTAGGTGAGCAGCCATTTGTAATAATAGACAGACGGTAGCTTATCATTCATTCAAATAACACCTGGACGCTACTCGTAGGGATAGCAGTGATACAATTATCTAGGAACTAGGTCACATCACTCAACTGTTAGGACACTTAGCGATATCCTAACCGTTGGTTCGAATCCTGCTGCGACTTATTTTCCATTCCACTCCTCAGTATCAGTCATTAAATCAACAGATCCTTAACCTTGATTAATAACCACCTAGGTGCAGTTCAAATAAATATTTTTACAGTATGAATGAATTGATGGAATAAACCATATTGCTACAGATCTCATCGTAAATGCGATTTAATGTAGAGCTGTAGTAATAACTGAATGGCCACTGTAATCGATCACTAAAAGACGACTTGTTAAGAAAAACCACGTTAGATAAATGCTCGATTTGGACCAACTAACAAATTATTGACTAGTAGAGTTGTAGCTTGTTGGCTTAAGCACTTAGATTCCAGCCAGTGGGTTTAGTGTTCGAATCTTGCCCCACCTACTGCTCCTGGGCAGCTAGGTAGTATCATCACTCCTCATACAATAAGTCTTCTCACTAACTGCCCTACTAATTATTATTATTGTTTCCTTTAATTCCTAGAGGAACATAGGGCTTCAGCCGCGCGTCTCCATTGCGCTCGGTTCTCTGCTAGAGTCTTCACCTGGCTCCAAGTTTGCCCACACGTTTTCATCTCCTCTTCACGTGACCTCCTCCAAGTCACCCTTGCACTGACGACCAACTCGCCGCTTCCCTTTCGGGTTCCACTCGAGCAATGGCTTGTCTAGTGATGTCACTTGATGGTTTCCTCAGAGTATGGCTAGTCCAATCCACCTCCATTTCTTCCTGCCTATTTGTTTCACAATCGGTTCCTGTTGTGTTGGTTCGCACTCAGAGATCCCTGTTTCTGATCTTTTCTGGCTAGCCATCTGATCTTGAGTATTGAACGAAGACAACTTTAAATGAAGGTCTGTAGTTTGTTTGAGGTGATCTTTATGACGCGCTCGCCAAGTCTCTGATCCGTATAGCAAGTAGCACTGACTTCACATTGGAGTTGAAAATCCGGATCTTATTTTTGATGCTGAGTGCTGTTGACCTCCACAGAGACTTGAGAGTAGTGAAACCTTGTCTTGCTTTTCCGATTCTTGTTTTGATATCCTCGTCAGTTCCGTCCACCTGTATTTGAGACGATGCTTCCCAGGTAGGTAGGTAAAAGAGGTTGTTTCTTTCAGGTTCCCCCCATTTATGCTGATCGTTGTCTGTTGTTGTTGTTCTTGTCAAGGAATCTTCATTATCTCTGTTTTCTCTATGTTCACCTGAAGTCCTATCTTTGATGCTTCTCCTGCCAACTTGTTGCTTTTCGCTTGCATATCTTCCAGTTTGTGGGAAATCAGACATATATCATCGGCAAAGTCCAGATCCTCCAAGTTTAGAATCATTATTTTACAGTCCCAAAGTTAAAATCCTTTTCATGAGACGGGCACAGCGGTTAGGACTCTCGCCGACCATCCACATGGTCTGGAGTTCGATCCCCTGCCGACAGTCACATGATATTAATGGTTGGCCTGCACAATTTGAGCTACCGGTATCACATGTTGAAAATTACATACTTGTACAAAAATATACAACGGCCTATTTCCCAAAAATATCTTCCTACCGACACCTTAAATTACATAAACATGGAGAATTATATATATAATGATCAATAAGAAGAACTCACTTTGTGAGGATTCATCAAGTGAGGGATACCATCTCTTTGAATATGTCGCATAACATGTAAAGGTGGTTCATTGAAGAAGGATGGTTCACCATCAACCATTTCAATTAGTAATACACCCATTGACCAAACATCTACTGATGTATTATAAGGCAAACGACTGATCACTTCAGGTGACATCCAATATGGTGTTCCGACAAGACTTCGTCTTCTTGGATGTTCAGGAGACACCTGAAAAAAATATATTTCAGAAAATCAAATAAATCAAATAACTAACACATTATTGTTTAATCCAATCGACGGGAAAATCTAAAATTCAATTAAATAATCAATATAACCAGTTGTACAAGAAGCCGTGGCTCTCGTGACCCAAGTGGTCTAGTGCATAACGCTTCAGCTGGCGTTTGAAACTATGGGCACTGGGTTTGAGCCTCGATAGGAACATCATCACTCACTGCGGAATACAGGTACATTCAGCTGGAGGACGAGTCCCAAATAGGACGAAATTCGCACCCTGGATTCCACTGCTAGTCATCAACCACGAAATAACTTCTAACACATTATTGATTGATATTATTGATGTATCGTGAATTGACGGAAATTAGAATTTACGGGTCAATTAATTCAAACGCAGTAATAAGAATGTTCGATGGACTGGATTCGTAAATCAGCAGTTCATCACGGACCATTGGGTGCGAACTTCTGGAAAATCCCAACCTAGGCGCGAAAGAGTTGTTCAACGATCCTTGGCTTCCAGTGATTCACTCAGCGCTATAAGTTAGCGACGCACAACTCGTCGTATCCCACTCGAGTTCCACTCGCGGATTGACCTGCCTAACGATATCCCCCGATGATCTCCTCAGTTTGTGTCCACTTTCATTACAATAATCCTTGAATCGTTTTCAGCGTTTCTTCTTGCTAATCCTTTCTGATAGGATATCCGTCCTTCACTATGCAGTTAGCAAAGGAGGCTGTTGATGAAAGTCTTCAGTAGACTGGTAGAAATGCTTTCGTGACACTAACGTCAAGCTTCTGACCAAGATATAGAGACACTGACTAACTTCACATTGGTATTGAGATTGAGAAATTTGTTCTTTACGCCAAGTGATTACAAAGAATTTCCACACTGACTTGAAAGTGATGGACATCAGTCATTCGTTTTGTGATTCCGGTTTTCACATCTTCATCCATGCTGATGCCTGCAGTTGAAACGATGCTGCGTAGATAAGTGAACGAAGTGAAGTGACCCTCTTCAAATTTTTTTTGATTTGATAGTACTTGGTGCTTATGGTTGTTGTTCATCGATTATCTTTATCACTTTCGTCTTCTCTCTGTTCATTTGATGTCTTGTCTTTGTTGCATGACTCGCTTGCCAACGTTTTGGTTTTCACCTGTGAGTCTCCTAATTTATGTGACATGCAACATAAATTGCACGCGAAGTTCAAATCTTCAAGATTATTCTCAATGGTCCAATTTATTCCTGTCTTCTCACTGCATACAGTCTTCCGAATAATCCAGTTCACCACTTCGCATTTAAGTTAACGTCAGTCACTCGCTTATATCCTACAGTCATATTAAGTAATGACGCACATTTTAAAAATATTTTTTCAAGCCTTTCGACGAGCATTTTAACTGAAAAAAAACATAGAAAAGCACTACGAAAAGAATGAAGGGGTGCTTTATATCGATAAGACATACACACACTGAATCACAGAGACCAATATGTATTATTATCATTACTGTTTCCTTTAGCTCCTAGAAAAACATTGAGCTTCAGCCGCACACGTCTCCATTGCGTTCGGTTCTCCACCACCAACGTTTTCACCTAGCTCCACGTCTGTCCACATGCTTTCATCTCCTCTTCTCATGACCCCCTCCATGTTGTCACCCTCTCACTGACGACCAACTTACCACTTCCCATTCGGGTTCCACTCGAATGATGGCCTGGCGTGTGATGTCACTCACTTGATGGTTTGCTTTCTCAGAGTACGGCAAATCCACCTACCTCCATTTCTTCTTGCATATTTATTGGACAGTAGGTTCCTACTGGTTTGGTTGGATACCAGAGATCCCTGTTGCTGATCTTTTCTGGCCATCTGATCTAAGACAGCTGTTGATGAAGTTCTGCAGATTGTTCAATGTGCCCTTCATGACGCGCCAAATATCTGATCCGTATAGTAAGCAGCACTGACTTCACAATGGAGCTGAAAATCCGGATCTTATTTTTCATGCTGGGTGCTGCACCGATATTACTAGCTTATATTATTAATAGCTGGTTATCTTCAGGTATCACTATGAGCATGTTACGTTTAGGTTACGGAGTAAGGATTTGCTTGATTATGATCTCCAGCCTCTAACTTTTCAATAGTTAGCTTCAAACCTGTCTAGTTTCACTAATGAAGATCTCTCTACCCGCAACCGTCACAGTAAACCCTACTTGCCTAGTCAGTAATGAGGAGAGGGCCAAGACCAATGTGTTAGTCAGCTGACCAAAAGGTTTGACAATGCCCCAAGGTCAGCCTGCTATCATCTAATTGATTGTGGCTAGTACTGGAATCCAGGATTCGCAATTCGTCTTACTTAGAACTCAGTGGCCAGATAGACCTGCATCTCCAGTGAGTGATGCTGTCTTCATAGAGGCTTGAAGTTTCGGTAGCAGTGGTGTTTAGTTTTACGGGATAAGGTTGCTAGCCTCATGCCCTCCCCCAACCTTGCCGCTTTACCAGTCTTATTACTGGCTTAGCGAGGTAAAGTAGTGTGTCGACCGGGCGTCGAACCCCGAACCACATGAGGCGTTATCGGTGAGCATTCTAACGCTGTGCCACTGACGCACTACACATGAATAGTTCATAGATAAGAAAGTTAAAAGTAAAATGTGTCATTGAAAACTTCAATCAAGGCTTATATACATAAACGTTAAAACTTACTCTTGCACAGAAACCAAAATCAGACAGTTTAACACGTCCTTCAATAGATAATAAAATTGAATCTGATTTAACATCCCTATGAATAATTCCATGATCATGTAGAAAGGCCAAGGCACGAAGAACATCACGACACACTGTAGCAATTTGTTTCTCTGACATTCTATAAGGCATAGAGATAAAAGTCATCAATAGAAAACAAACATTTAATGGGTGCTATAATTCATATGCACCTAAAGTACATAATTTTTGATCGACAAAGTACAAATTGAAACGTTCAAAGGATTTTCATGGCTAAAATTTAGTCATAATATCATCCGAAGGAATAAATAACATCAACGTTTAATAGTTCATTCATGAGGTTATTTACAATTTGTTGCTTGTGTCAAATTTCTCCCCACCGCTCTTAGTTTAACTGAGTCCCTTATGAACAAATCAAACGAGCAAAGACATCCATGAAGTCTAACATCTCTCAGTTTGCCAAACACACTGATACCACCACGTGATGTTATTGTCACTATCTGTCCTCTCACCCGACTTCATGAATCCCGATAATCTCGACTTCTCACTGGGACTATCTATCAATAGTAATATAACTATTAGTACAATTTAATTGGAACCATCCAATTGTATTGATTATTGATGAAATGAGTTTCTAAGTAAAACTTCATCATAAAAAGACATCACTTGGAGAACGAATGAAAAATATGAAGTACTGGGCATCTGTTTCATCTTAGTTTGGACTATATGGTCCCTCAGCATCTGGAAGGTGACGTTTCAGACTCGTAACCTAAACCTTTTGCCTTCGATAGCTGACCCGTCCTACTGAAGAGTCCGCAATTCCATTATGGGTAAATTTTATTTTGATAGAGTCTCACAGTGTTATACAGTAATATTTACTGATGACGTTTCGAGCACAATTTATTGCTGTATTACTGTATAACACTGTGAGACTCTATCGAAATAAAATTTACCCATAATGGAATTACACTCTACCACAGTGCCCAAGTTTTATTCTTATATCAATGATACTTATGGTCTTCCTACCAGGAAGCTTATTAACAAACTCACACGACTTTCTCAAACTGAAGCAAGATTCACAAATCATCGGATTTTTAACAGTCGATGTTTAAAAAATCAAACAATTCCGAAATATTTACGTCTACGCACTCCAATTACTTCAAGTAAAATAACATCAGCTGCAGAAAATGTCAGTAGATTATGTCTAAGAGAAGAATTACATCGAGTTACTGTGAAACTAAATAATATACGAAATGAAATTGAAAAACTCAAACACAAACTCAAAGATATGATCAATGACAAAGATTATACAATTATTCTTGAAACATCTAAAAAAGCTAGAGAATCTGCATTAAGAAAATCAAAAAACACACAAATCAAAAAATTCAACAAACTTATTGAAGAAAAGAACACAGCAAATGAAATTGATGTCAATGCTTCATCCTCCATCGACAAAACAAAGTGGGTGATCAACCTCACATCAAGGGAACTAAGCTCCAGTGAGATAAAAGTACTTGAGAAAGGACTAAATTTCAACGTAACAGTTAATAAATTAAAAGCTTGATATGATTATGAGCAATAAATTGTGCTCGAAACGTCATCAGTAAATATTACTGTATAACACTGTGAGACTCTATCAAAATAAAATTTACCCATAATAGAATTACACTCTACCACAGTGCCCAAGTTTTATTCTTATATCAATGAAGAGTCCGCAGCTTACACGAAACTTTTGTCTAATACTTCGTGATGAAATTTGACCTTGGATAAGTCGATTTCATGAATATATGAAAGACAACTGCCAATGTTATCCAGTAATCTGAATTTAGTTGACAACCAGCAACAGTTGAATCAGAGACCTTCAGTAAGAGACCATCAGTAAGAAAATCCCCACTTGAAAAATTAGCAATCAATAGTTCATTGATTTGATGAATTTTTAACTAGACCATTCAGAAGATAAATGTAATATTTCTCTCTTTCTCTTCGTGTGTGTGTGTGTGCGTGCATCCTAAATTATTTATACAGCCAACCACTTTTTCTACTCTTGAATACGTGTCTTACTAGCCTCAGGATGGTCGGGGGTGGGTGCCTTGCGCTGCGGGTTGGCCACCCCTCCACACACCTCTTGAAATGCTCCCATATGACCGGGCGTCTTACATACCCTCTCCCGAGGAAGTCCTACTCACTGCCTTCACGTGGCGGAGGTGTTTTTCACCAAAGTGAGAGGGCGAAAGCGGATGTCCGGCGCTCGTCACCGGGTTGACTGTCCATTGGATGACAGTCTAGGGGAGATGGCTAGACCCTGATTCCAAACCTCCAACGACTGGCGTATAAGCTCTCTGGAGCTCAACGGCAGACGTTTGGACCAAGGGCTTGTTGGATGTCCTGGATGTCTGGCCCCATTCAAAAAGGTGTATGAACCAAACTCCGGTCACCGTTTGTCAATGGATAGCGGACTCCCTACTCCACTCCTACTGCCTTGTAGGTCACACTTGGTTGTGTTAAGGCTAGAGCTGCACTCTCAAACAAAAGGCCGAGCGATTCTGGGGACATTACCCGTACCAAATTCCCATGAAACTTCATGAACTCTTCGTCGTTGCTACAACATCAACCAAATTCCAATACTGGTCCAACAACGTCGCCTTCGGTGGTTTGGCCATGTTCTGCGCCGACCAGATGACGATCTGGTCAAATCAGTTCTAAATCCCTCGCCATTACCACCTTGGCGATGTCGCAGGGGTGGACAGCTGAAAACATGGCTTGGTACAGTCAAGGCTGATATGGAGTGCCTGGGGCTACAAACCGTCTACGGACTCCGTCTGTGGAACAAGAATTGGATAACCCTGTCGCAAAACCTTGCATCAGATCTTCGCACCTGGGCAGCGATGATTCCAGATGTTCATGAAGCCGGTTCATCCTCCCGTAGGAGATAGCCGAAGTAAAGTAAGGTAAGTAGTCTTACTAGAGCTATGGTTATTAACATATCCCATTTATCTCACATAATCACCGCAAATTACATTGCTAGTTAACTCTGAATAACTTATTGGGTTGAGTGAGTTATGACAACGGAGATTAAAAATTGATGACGATGTCACTGAGTGATCTCATCAATGTATGTCTAATCCTTCTCCATTTTTTCTTCGCCATATTTGTTAGGCGACAGGTTCTTAGTTTTTTTTTCATTTCAAGAGTTCCTTGTTGCTAATCCTTTCTGGATACCTGATCTTTAATGTGGATCCAGAAAAGTTATCTGTTGATAAAATTTTGCTGATACATCAAACCTCTGGAACATAATGACAGCAGGGACTTGATATTAGTGTTGAAAATTCGATTCTTATTCTTTATACTGAGCAGAGTATATTTCCACACTGATTTCAGATTGTTAATGGTCTGTCTGTTGCAGTTTTGTAGAGATTTTGGCTAATTTCATTGTAGATTTCACGGTGAACTGACAACAGTTAGACAGTCTTTGGAATTCGAGAGGCTCTGGATAACCGTTCGTCGTATTTCGATGTTTTTTAGCAGTGAACACCCAAGGATATTGTCCAGAACCCTCGAATTATCAGGCCAGCTTGCGCATCATTCCACCACCGGGTTGAAATTCGCTAAACCATGAATTACAACTTTATCAGTTGGCGATATAGCATTACCTCCAACCAATGACATCCATGACGATTCCCTTCACCGGCATGTGGTGAACTTCCTTGGACATGATTTATTTTTATAATTTTAGGATACCCATACTGTGTCAATTATTGAGCTTGAGAATAATAATTAAACATCCAGGGTTTTGTAGGAATTTTGGGTAATCTCAGTCGAAATTTAGTCACAAACCAACATAAGTTTGAGATTCAAGTGTTGGTTTGTAGGGATTTGATTGGTTACAGGATTTTCATCATGAGCTGACATTAGTTAGAGAACCATTGGAAAACCTGGGAGTACTGGACAGCTGTTTCGTCCTAGTTTGGGACTCAACAGCAGTACGCACCCACCGGGATTCGAACCCAGGACCTTCTGTTTACAAGGCGAGCTCCTATAACATTAAGCCACTGGGACCCGAACTAATGGCCCATGAATTCTAACTTCTGCCAATTCACCACATAGCGAGACCCCTAGCCAATGTCTTCGGCGAGTATTTGTTCTCACACCCGACCTGCTGCACCCTACTGGTCACGAGTTTTTGAAAACTAAATGGTGCTGGCTGTTCCCGTAAGTTCACCGTCACGATGTCAATTCTTAGTAGTGTCATAGTTGGCATTAGTGAAGAGTCTTGTACTACGACAGGATAGTTGTCCAGCGTTCCTTATTTATTATTATTATTATTCCTTCACGTTCCCCAGTGGAACATAGGGCTTCAAGTTACAGGCTTGAAGGTTCTGTAGCAGTGTTTATTTTTACAGGATGGGGTTGCTAGCCTCATGCCCAACCTTTACTCTTCATCAGCTTTTAGTTCTGGCTTAGCATGGTAAAGGAGTGCGCCGGCCGGGTATCGAACCCGGACCATGTGCATGGTCGGCGAGCGTCCTAGCCGCTATACCACTGACGCACTCAGTGTTCCTTGGTTATCAATTATTCTCTAAGTAATGTCAGTACAAAACGAAATCTGAAATGAAATTTAGAATAAATAAACTTTCTATGATGGAAGGAAACCAAACTCCATTCCTTCCTAAATTATAACTGTCAGCAAATTTTAAGCTGTTTCAACTGACGAATTTACCAACTAGTAAAAATCAAAGCTGGGAAATGTCAACAGCAATGTAATGTCGATTGAATAAACCGAAGTGCTCAGTCTCAGGTTGAAATGTCGGCTTCTTGTTCAGATGCTTCGACGATGTTTGGACATGTAATTAGAAGGTAATTGATTGCTGATAACTAGCAGTGGAATCCAGGATAATGCGGATTTCGTCCTATTTGCCACTCGTCCTCCAGATGGATGTACCTGCATTCCTCCGTGAGTCAGTGATGGAGTTCCCATCGAGGCTCGAACTCAGTGCCCATAGTTTCAAACGCCAAAGCGTTATCCACTAGACCACTTGGGCCACGAGAGCCACGGCCTCTTGTGCAGCAGGTCATATTGATTATTTAATTAAATTTTACAATTTCGTGTCGATTGACTGTATCTAAGTACGTCCAGTTGACGAGTCTCAAATAGAACAAAATGCGCGTTATCCTGGATTTCACTGCTAGCCATTATCCACCAGTTAACTTCTAATTACATGTCTAGACATCGTCAAAGTATCTGTACAAGAAGACAACAGATGTGTCAACCCGAAACCGAGCACTTCGGTTCAATCAATCGAAGGGAAAATCTAAAATTGAATTAAATAATTAATATGACCCGTTGCACAAGAGTTGGCTCTCGTGGCCCAAGTGTTCTAGTGGATAGTGCTATGGCGTTTTAAACTATGGGCACTGGGTTCCAGTGTCGGTGGGAACACCATCACTGACTCACTGGGGAATGCGGGTGCATCCAGATGACGAGTCTCAAATAGAACGAAATGCACATCCACTGCTATTCATCATCCACCAACTAACTTCTAACAATGATCTTTAAGTAAAATAGCTATTCATACATAGTACATCATGTGCCACATCGTAGTTTTATTTGAAGCATCAACCAAACTCCTACAATATTCTAACTTCGTCAGGTAGAAATGAGCACCAGTATTTTGAAAACCCATTAAAAAATATGCGTTTGTACATTCTGCGACTAAATAACATAACTGATAACTTTAAACAATAGGAATCAGTAGAAATACGATGCATTTTGTTAGAATGAAAAACAGGCAGCCCAGTGATTCAAACAGTCATCCATAACTTCCATTGTCCTTCTGGACAGCATAGTCAGTGCTTAATTCATGCCGTAGAGCAATCGACTCACCAATCCAAATTTCTTTCAATTTTACCAAAAATGACTCAATGATTTGTAAAAAGGATGATTAATTCTGTCTTGAGAATACAGAGTACTCCTCGATAGTATAGCGGTGGGTATCTCCTGCTGTCATGTAGAAGGCCCGAGTTCGATTCCTTGTAGAGGAGTTGTCTTTCAGTAACGAATACAGAACTCCAGGCGAACACAGAGAAGATGGAGGTGATGAGGTTGACCAACTAACAGCAAAACAAAACAGCACAAGTTACTATTAGCTTAAGAAATTTGACAGAGGTTACTTCCTTCACTTATCTGCGAAGCACGGAGCTGATGAAGATGTTAAAGCCAGACAGCACCGAAAAGGCTAGATACACCAATCTGAAATTGGTTCGGAAATCTTCTCCACTCCTCCAGTGGATAAAAAACAAAATTCAGATTCTGAACAGAAATACTAAGACAATAAGTGTTTCTATATGGGTCATAAACTTGGCGCTCGCGTCATGTAAAGCAACTTCAACGTGTTGTAGACTTTTATCAAAAGCTGTCTTCGCTAACTCCATATTGAAGATCAAATGTCCACAAAAAATCAACAACAAGAAAGTATGGGAATAAACAAAACAAGAACATATCGTTCAACAAAGACGTTGAGGGAAAATACAGATAGATTGGCCATTTGTTGAGTAGACCGTGGATGGACATCACACGCCATGGCACTGCTCGAGTGGAATCTGAATGAGAAACGACGACTGGGTCATCCTAGGGTGAAATGGAGGAGATCGTGTGGCAAGGAGGGGATGAGAGATTATGGGCAGTCATGGGGCTAGCTAAAGGGGACAGCAGGAAATAGAACAAGGTGGAGATGTGCTGTCAAAGCCGTATGTTCCAGTTGGAACGCAAGAGAACAATAATAGTAGTTAAAATACAAGAGGGTTCTTAAACGTCATACTAGCAACTCTTCTTCCCTATATTACCACATATCCCTTTGATGTTTACATCACTGCGTACAAAAGGACATCCACCTCGTACACAAAATATATATATGCGCCGGTGGCACAGTGGTTAGGACTCTCGCCAACCATGCACATGGTCCGGGGTTCGATCCCCTGCCGGCGCACACCCGATATCTATGGTCGGCCTGAATTTGGGCTACCGATATCCATGCTGAAAATTCCATACTTGTACTGAAAATACGGTGTGGAATCAAGCTGTAAATCAAAATAAAAAAATAAAATAAAAAAATAAAATAAAAAAATCAGTGATCAACATTGCTCTTAGGTATTTGCTTTTTCGGCCAATAACGAAAACTGCCAGAATTTGAAGGCTGTGTCGCTGTTTCGCCTATGTATTTTGTTATATTCTGTAATGATCTCTCATTATCCTCTATTATAGCAGCTGGTTTCTGCTTTTATTCGTAGTATCAGAGATTGGACATATATGACGGGTGATGTCTGGAGATGAACCGGAATCTGAAACGCGGCAGCAATCGATCCACCGAACATCTGACTCTCTACCAGTTGAACTACAACACCCCCAGGCTAACTAGGTTTTGTTGAGTTAAAAAAATACCACTGAAATATGAACACAGAATGATGCTTACAGTGTTCGTGTGACAATATTGGTCAATGCACCACCCTCCAAATATTCCATTGCAACCCACAGTTCATTTCCAATTAAATAAGAACCAAACATTTCCACTATATTCGGATGAGGATAAGTTTGCATAATTATCACCTTATAAAGAAGAAAAGAAAAAGAAGGCATATTATAAGAATAACATCTTTGAATGGATTCAAACACTCCAACTAAACAAACTATAAGGTATAATGTTTTAGCTGTTTAAAAAGATAAATTTATGTTATGCAAGTTTTCATCCCCGCAAATATAATTATTGACACTAAAGTCACGCAAATATTTCTTTCTAACTAACTGCTGATAGTATGAGTGAATAGCTAGCTCAGCAGCACTGGATGAAGCAGTTATGTATCTTAGAAGGGATATATCAGTTCTTTCAACGTTGCAAACACACCTTACTGTGAAGTTACTAATAAGCACGAACCCTTAGCCAAGTGTGGATTCCTACCGATGGTTTCCAACCCCATAGAGCACGTGTACAACAAACAGACGATAACTGCTGTTGATAGTAATAATAATAATAATTTGCTTTATTCCAAAACAGTACTTGTGATACAGAATGGAATTCTCAGCATTTTTACTACAGTATTGCATCCAGTTAGTACATTATCAATAAATAGAATTCTACATAGATTAAGGAAATCTCAGTTCATTATGACAACAACACATTGGCATGTCGGTAGCAAAGGTAAGGCTGAACAGTGTTTGAAGGTGTTAGAAAAGTAGGTGCTGTCATATTTACTGGCGTAAGCGGAAGAAAGAAACAAAGCAGCACATAACGGAAAAAAGAGAGAGAAAAGGAAAAGAAAGAAAGAAAATGTTGTACATATAAATAATATGAGTTGGAAAGATGAGGTCCAGTTGTTCTACTGACTATTTAACGAATTATAGGTGTCATGCCTAATGCTTTCTTTATCGCGCAGAACACGAGCTAAGTAAGGTATGGTTGAGTTTTTTTACTTGCTGGTGTGGGCATATAGTTTTCTATATTGGCTTCTGGTTTTGCATGATGAGATGCAAGGGGAGAGTTGTGAGTGAAGAGGGTGGTGTGAGTAAGATAAAATGGATTTGGCCCATTTTTCACATGAGTCCAAGTGCCTGCCTGTCGACCAGAATATTAACAAGCTGGTTAAGTGGCACGTTGCTTACCCTGCTGACAACCTTTGACATCCTGTGTAATAAGGTATAGTCTTTCTTCAGTAGCCCGAGAAAAACTAAGGGGGAACAATAGAGAATAATAGACAGAATGCGAGAATTAACGAATTGTAGGAGTAAGAGTTGGGTAATACCAGAATGTTTTAACTTCTTAATGTAGAAGGTAAGACGGAATATTTTCTTAGAAATCGCCAAGATATGAGACGACCAGGAGAGATCAGCAGATAGAATGACACCTAGGTATTTAATTTCCGATTTAGTTTCTATTTCAGTGCCGTCTATGTTGCATACCTCGTGAGAGCCAAACAGTTTGTTTAGGTCGGATTTATGCCTAAAGGTGAAATTGACTGTTTGGTATTTGGAGGGGTTTAGAGTAAGACGATTTTCCTTGGACCACTGGCTGATTTCTGACAGAAAGCCATTAAGTTTAGAGCAGTCGCATTGACATTTGATAGGCAAAGATACAGACAGATCGTCAGCGTATTTGACAAAATTAATGTCATTTGAAGATGGTAAGTCATGTAGAAAGAAGGAAAGGAGAAGTGGGGAGAGTACAGCGCCTTGGGGGACACCAGCTTCAGTGAGCACAGCAGAGGAGGATTTACCTTTGTATACGGTGTACTGCATTCTGTTAGGGAAGTAGGAATGCAGCCAGTTAGTAACCCAGGACTCAGTTTTTGTCATAGAGAGCATATTTAGCAAGAGACATCTAGGTAGGAAGTCGAAAGCAGAAGTGAAGTCGAGAAACGTGCAGCGGACGTATTTGTCACCTTTATCTAATGATGAGACGATACTGTTGTGTAAGACGGCTGCAGCGTCTAAAGTGCTCCTACCCTGTCTATAGGCAAATTGTTTGGGGTTCAAGTCTAAGAAGTACTAGTTTTTCCATAAGCTTTAGAAACGGGGAATTGAAGGCAATGGGTTTGAACTTTACGTTCTTGCTATTTCCAGGTTTAAGGACAGGGACTATTTTAATGTCTTTCCATGCAACAGGTACGACATTTTTGGAGAAAGAAGCATTTAGGATGTTAGTTAGTGGAGAACATAAAGCATCTGCACATTGTACTCCAAAGTGTCTCGACCATCCTCCAATGCTGTAACTTACATTTGTCTTCTGATGTGTATTACATTCGGATCAGGTTAACGAACTTCGAAAGTTGCCCGGCATTGGAATGGAATAAAAAACTGTCAGTATATTTCATCATGGATTGTTGTCTACTTGGAAGCTTCACAAATATTCACACTTTGCAAATTAGTTAGCGTTTTACTATCTATACAGTTGGAAGGAGTGAAAGTTTTACCGTAGGTTTCTTTGGAAACCAAGTCACTCAGATCATCATCATAATATGTGATCGACTTGATACCATAAATAGTAATTATGTAAGTCAGAATATTTACATATAACTACACATACTACTGATTGATTCAGATGAGTAGTTTGCCTAACACTCATATCAACCAGTTGTACCTGCTAGCCGGATAGAGTTGATCTAGCTAGCCAGAAATTGGGTGGTTTAAACTGATTCGCCTCTCTGAGATGATTCAGACAGGGTACACTACTGATGAGCTCGGCCCCAGAAGATTGGAGCTTCCGTGGTGCTTAGATCACCTCAGCCTGGCTAGCGAGTACTACTAGTCTTTTTGAGAGGTGGACAACTATTTGCCTCAATCAGTCGGTGGTGTATAATTCCATACTATGTAGATTCATATACTTATTGCATTCTAAAAATCTGAATTAAGAAGAAAGCCAACAGTCTGGTCTGTACAGGATAAGGTGATATTGCCATTGTCGGTCTCTTTACAACTATGTCATTATCGTCGCCTTTAGTTCCTCATAGAAAATATAGGGCTTCAGTTGTATACGTATCCATTGCGTTCGGTTCTCCACCCCCAACGTTTTCACCTAGCTCCTCGTCTGTCCACATGCTTTCATCTCCTCTTCTCATGATTCCCTCCATGTTGTCACCCTCTCACTGACGAGCAAATTACCACTTCTCATTCGTGTTCCACTCGAGTGATGGCCTGGGGTATGATGTCACTCACTTGATGGTTTGCTTTCTCAGAGTACGGCAAATATACCTACCTCCATTTCCTCCTGCATTTTTCGTGCACAGTCGGTTTCTGTGGGGTTGGTTCGCTCATTGCCAGAGATCCCTCCCTCTTACTGAACTTTCCTGGCCGGCGACCTGATCTTGAGTAGTATTGAGCAAAGACAGGTGTTGATGAAGGTCTGTAGTTTGTTCGGAGTGCCCTTCGTGACGCGATGCGGCGTGGCGCCAAGTATCTGAACCGTATGGCAAGTAGCACTGACTTCACATTGCAGTTGAAAATCCAGATCTTATTTTTCATGCTGAGTAGAGCTGTTGATCTCAGCACAAACTGCAGAGTAATACAATTTGTGTACAGATAAATTTTTAGAGTACTTACAAAGGTGATATGATGTCACTTTTAATTTCTATGATATGCTTTAAACCGACCATGCCGTTGCGCAACTTACTACTGACTTATCATCTATTTATCCACCTGTAATCAGTATCATGTTTATAATTAATATGCGTGTAGTTTCTGAGCACTGTTCATTGGACTCTGAGTCATCTGTTAGCTGACATCGTGTCACCTTTGCAAGTACGTCAAACATTTCCCTGTACTTAAACTTAAAATATTTTTCATGTTGCAGGAAGCTAAAGCAAAACCAACGGAATACGCGATGACATTATCCTATCTTGTTGCATTTCCTTTGTTCAAATAGTTGGATTCAAAATAAAATCTTAACTGTCTTTTAATTTGATAATCTCTAGAATTCTGTAAACAGCGAATTATAGGAGTTAAGCTGGAGGAGAGAAATTCAACTCCCTGAAAGGCGAAATCACAGAATAATATTTGTGCTTATCTGATGCTATTTAGCATTGTGTCTGAGTATTTAAGCAACAGCTGTTTGTTATTTTGTATCCTCTGTCGACTGATTTCTGTTGAACAAAATTGCTCAGTCTGTATTGACTTTTCAGGTCCTAGGAAGTATGCTTCTGTGATGGTGTTATTCAGAGGCAAAGTTAAACTTTCGACACCAGTAACAAGCAATCAGCAAACGACCTTGAACGGACCAATCACATGAAAGAGGCGTTTATGATAAGCGGAAACGTATATTTATAGAAAAATGCATAAAAAAATGATAAAACGGTTACAATGGGTATCTTTCCCGAACATGGGAGAGAAACATTTCCCAATTCAGCATGGGACTGTCAATAGAGAAGTCGCACCACATTCTATACATATATTCATCTAAATGACTATAAATGAGATCCTTTTGAGATCCATTTATAGCCCTTATTCTTTTTTTCAATCGACCCCAAAATCCTTCAATGGAATTTGTATGGATCCCTGTAACTGCATCCACGAAATCACTGGAGTGGTTCACTCTGTGATGAATGTATCCCAGGGATGACAATGAATCATAGCCTTTCCACTCGTCAGTATGTACAATTGATCCCGGTTTCACAAGTCGCTTTATAATAGGTACCAAAGTAGTCGCCTTCCTGTCTGCTATTCCTTCAACAACTCCTTTTCGGAGGGACGTGTCGTATAAACCTATGACCCAAATGTTGTTCGCTCTCTGACGACAGTGGTTATATTTCTTCTTCACCAACACTGTCTCATGCACATGGACCACTACGTCGTCCCCACCTAACAACGAAGTAATTCTGTCTATTTTCCATGAGGCGATGTCCCTGCAGTGCTGGTATACCAGTGGTATACCACTGAACTGTTGAGACGAGGCTGCTCTCCGTCTCGGCAGCAGCGGCTCTCACGAGCTTTTTCAGCACCCAGTAATTGTAAATGAACAAAATCTGGGTTAGGGAGAGATGCGACCTAGTAAAAAACTTTCCTACGAAATATTACCCTCTTTAATACTAACTCGCTTCCAGCATATTCCACAACGATGTACA